AGGAATTACATTATAATGGAGTTTTTCCCATTTCCGCCTGGACAAAATTTGATATTGAATAGCTGATTAAGCCTAATTTTCATCAATCTTCGGAGAGGCAGTTTATCTACTTTTTTACTAGCGTGTTGAAAAAAGTACTTTGAGCTTACCGTCACCAACAATTAATTTTTAACTCGGATACGGATAGAATGAGACCCCACATTTCTAACCAAACTGTTACTGCCAGACCTGACAAAACCCTTACCTTTATTGGAGAGATGCATGTCGTAAGGATCGCGCTGCTAAAAGACAACGTCGGTTTTTATTTTTTTCCGAAATTTCCCTAATTCTGGTGTAACGATTATCATAAAGAGGTTGAATATGCGTTGAGCTTGTGACGGCCTTTGGAGACGCAAGAGATGCCTAACTTGATAAGAAGCAAGTATTTTGAGCACGTTAACCTGCCTCATAACTTTTACTCATGAAAATTGTATTAATATTATCTGTAACTGTATTCAATACACACATTTATGGGAAAAGTCCTATGAAATTGCAGTCACACTTTCTTTGGAAATAGTAGTGAGGAAATTTCTTACAAAAGTTGACACGGGAGAAAATTGTAAGCATATACTTAAACACGCATGATTTCTTCAAAGTTCGTTTAACTGTAAATTTGAAGCCTAGATCACACAAATGATACACAAGGTGGCACGAAGTTACAGGAAACAGAAAATTCATGACATGTTAGATTTATATAACATTCACGGTTTGTAGAGACAGCCACATGCATACTTTAAAGAGGTATGAACAATTAACCTTAACAAACATTCAATATAGTGGATCGTGTTGAACATTTTTTAACATAATATGTCTCCTATTCCAAAGAATACCAGAATTTTCGGCCACTCAAAGTTAAAAGTAATAATGTCGAAACCAATTTGATTTTTACTGCCCTTCACGCCTTTTTTCATTACTTGACAGCAGTATTTCCTCAAACTTTTACTTCTTATTGAAGGTATTATAAGAGACGTCTGTAAATTTTTTAATTGTCTTACTTTCCACCAGTACAAAGGCTGTCCGCATGGTGGCGCCTAAGTAGTTGCCCTGCCAATGGTAAATGTAGTGTGTCGGGCGAGGCGTGGAAAACCTTATGACATCATGCTAGAACTAAATACGTCAGAACTTTTGCACAAAATTCCAAATTTGGAAGGTAACTTTTATTACTTCCCTCTCAAAGGTTGAAGTGAAAATACTCAACCTTCACTTTCGGGAGTTCTGTATTACTATTTGAATAAACGTTTTTTGAAGATACCTCGTCAGCAAGTACAAGTATACCTTATTTACGTTTTTCAGAATTTTGTCCGACTCTGATCGCGATAGATCTCATCCCTAGAGAAGGTAAGCCCACGAGGTCTGTGAGTTAAGTAATAAGACTGGCAACGTAGCGTTTGATCTGGCAACACTGGAGGCGCCGGACTTGGAGGGGGCTTAGGGGAACACGTGATCAGCCTTCAGTGCAAGATTTTGTTTTTTGTAAAATAGTTTTTCTATTATGTTCTAAATTGGGTGTCATCACACACATTTCGAGTAAGGTGCGCTATCAAGTTTTGCTTCAGTCTGGGGCACAGGAACGGAAACTCTTGCTAAACATCAGCAGGCCTATGGAGTGTTTTGTCAGGAGCACAGGTTTTTCGGTGGTTCAAGGCATTTTTAGAAGGGAGATGGTCGACTGAAGATGAACCACGAAGCGGAAGGCCATCATCTTCAAGAACCGATGAAAATATCGACGGACTCACACCACCGTTCATCAGATCAAGAACAACTGGGCGTTGCGTCAAGATAATGCTCCTTGTCACACAGAAATAAATCTAAATAAACGAGTTTGTGGCCAGTAAAAACACTCCCGGGGTTCTTTAGTCTCCTTATTCGCCTGACTTAAGTCCTTGAGACTTTTTTCTTTACCCAAAGTTGAAAAATCACCTCAAGGGAACTCATTTTGGGACAGCCGAAAACATTCAAATGGCTGTCACCGACCAGTTGAAAGCAATTCCTGTGTCAGAGTTCCAGCGATGTGTAGCTTCAAAAGGAAATTATTTTGAGAGTGGCAATACAGAGTTGTAGTTATATTTGAATAAAAAAATCAGTGCTGTTAGTTAATTTACAGACCTCGTATATCTGCTATGGAAAACCCTCCCTGTATAATACCCTCAAGCACAGCTACTTAAAATGCATTCCATTTTCGCTGTACTTTTGCATAGATCATAACTGTCGTCCCAATTGCAGCTGAGACCTGTTTCGTATAACAAACTATGCCCACAGTCATATATAAAAGGCAAAACAGGCTGCTAAGGTATGGAAGCAGAACAACATAAGCAGACAAACTTTTGCAGGCATGGTTTACTGTTATTAGAATGGTTCTTTACTTGTCGGATGAGCATGGGTGTAGTAAGAATGGATGATATTGAAGAAACTAAAGAGTTTTGACAATAAGGAATATCGCTTAAGTAGATGTTAACATTAGTCTTATTTGGCACTTATTACACGTGAATCTTTGGGTGCATTCAGCCATAGTAAAACGCTACAGTGGTGCAGTTCACAGCGCGTAACAAACTATTAAATCTGAAATCAAGTGAAAGCTGCTGTCAAACTGACAAAGCTGTCCCGTGGCTACGCAATTTTTAGTTTATAGAGGGTGGCGCATTTGCATCCAACACATTTGAAAATGCTGTAAAGTTACTGATATCAAGCAATACGAGAGGCAATTCATTTTTAAAGGTGGTAGTGGCAATGGAAGTATACTTTCAAAAAGTTACAAGTTGTGTTTGAAAAACAAATTCTGTCACTGAAATTACAGAAGTGTCATTCTTGATTGGTGTACCCAATCCCTAAATTGTACGAAGCTTATTTCTGTAAATCCCTCTTAAAATAATCATATACCGAGAGGCTGGCGAGCGAGGTGACCAAAGCTCATCTTCATTGTGCGAAGTCACATGTCGAGGAAACAGAGCGCTTTCGGTGTGTATCAATACCCTGGCTCTGTGTGCAGTAGCTGCATCATATTATGGTATTCAGTTTCTTCCAGCTGTGGAATCAGATGTTTTTCATAGCCACATAATCCTGTGAGTTCACAATGTATCCAAATAGATCGTAAGCGCCCGCTTTTCCTGTGATTTCGAGGATCCTTGGATGCTTCGCTCGTCAGGTATGACTATTTTTTGAGAGGAGTTTACAGAAAGAAGCTCCGTACCACCCAAGGGTAGGAGACAGTAAGCAAGAATGAAAATCCTGCAATTAGAGTAGGCATGCGTAGCGATAACCGACTCTAAGAAAGCATCATTGAAGAAAGGAAGGCTTTTAAAATAAGTTGTTTTTCACTCATATCTTGTAACTTTTTGGAAATAAATTTTCATGGTTACTATCAACTTCAAAATTTACCTCTCATCTTGAATATCAGCAGTTTTATAGCCATTTAAAATGAGTCAGATCCAAACGCACCACCTTCTATATGTTATACAGGATTCTGACAGTTTCTGGGCGTGCAATAAATCTCTTGAGGAATCGAAAGAGTGTAAGTTTTTGTATATAGAGTTTTTTTTATATTATTCAAATGACCTTTGAATGGAGCATACATGTTTCAAGATGTATCAATCCATTTCTTCAACATTTTCATGCATGTCTAAATATTTTAAATGTTGCACATGTCGTTCTCTGATTTTAAGCTTCTTATGATAAAAACTCGTATAGAAGCTTCGGGCATAGTAAGTCTACTCGCATTCAATTTTTACCTGTTATCATTGCCAATAGAAGTACCTAGCTAACATCTTGTGTTTTCATATTGCTGTTAGAAACAGCGCAATTTTAATCAAGCTGAGCAAATGATGTGATATTGGCTCATGTTTGTTAAGGCTGGTTTATACATTTGCATAGGCATGATCATAGTCCCAAACTTAATTATAAGAGTTAATCTCATGAACTTCAAGGTCGACCTTATAGTTGTATAAATAATTTAATCTAGCTTACGACTGTGACTCTTACAATTTTGTAATGAATACAATTTCAACACACACTATATAGATCATTTTTTTCCTCCTAAATTAGTAAGTCCTGATGGTATCCTTATCTTAACCTGTTTGTTCTACGGCCATGCAAGTCTACCTAAGCGTTGATAAATTCCTCGTCTATATTAATTCGCAAATCAACTATAATTATCGTGTCATAAAGAGAAACCTTGTGAATTGCGTTTCCTTTGTCGTCAAGGAATTCGATCCAACTGGTAGAGACACAAAGAAGTATCACTTAGTGCCAGTAGCAGCAACTCAATCTTATTACTCCTACCAAAAGGAGGTTAAATTATTTATAACTGATACCAGAAGCAGCTTTACTGATTTAACTGAGATCCTGTTCGGGTTTTAATCCAACATTCCAAAGTCCAGTCAATACAATTCAATTTTGTTAGATTATCAGATTATTTACAATGGAACTCAGATTTAACTCAAACATATGGCAATAAGAATATCAGATCTTTCTGCGTAAAGGTTATAGCTACTCTTAAGACCAACCTTCGGGCCCTAACTCTTTGACATTGACCCGTTTAGTAGCAAATCTCGGATTTGGCCTTAATCTTTGCTAGATTTGATACATACAGAAAGAGTCAAATGTTACGTTTTTCCTCCAAATGGACCTTGCTTGAAAGCTCAGTTATAATATTCCACCATATGTCGCCAAAATGCTACAAAGTATCGAACAAAACGTACCGGAAAGAAGGTCCAGTAGAATTTGCTGCATTTGTAATGTGTATCCTCTAACTGAAGGTTTCCATGGTCATAGTTCGATAGTGAACAGTTTTCACTATTTGGAGTATTCAATAGAGATCAGAGATGTAGATATCTGCAGATGTCATAGAGGGCCATATGACAAGCATTTGGTTTGAATGTATTTGCACACCTTTACGTCATATAAATCATGTTCACATTAATCAATGTCCCGTATGTGCTTTAGCTTTCAAATAATTTATAACTAACCGATTTGGTTGTCTTCTCTTTCTCATCAGATTGAGCAGCATGAATCGGTTTCCCATTTGTCTCAGAAATCTCGTTAGACTTGATATCGTCATCTACCGTAGCAGGCGTCGTATGCACCTGCTGTTTTGGTACCTTGGTACTTCCTGTGGCCTTCTCTGATACTGGGACATTCACCTACGGAAAAATCAGAAAATTAGTAAACAAATCTGTAATTTATTCCTCCTCTTAGTTTCACTTGTTTTGCCATTGAAAGGAAATCTAAAAGTGCCTCTTTACGACTGTAGTGGCAATTTAATTATTCCTTCCGTTTAACGTATCTATAGAGGTGGAAATTCCATGAGAGAGCCATTTCACCAACGAGAAAGCATTCCATTCTTGAGGGGAAGGTGGTGTTTTTTCTACGAAATCGGCAAAACAGCTACAAGACAGCGACAAAACTTTAGCAGTGCAGATGGCGGTTTTCCTCAATGCCTTCACACGCTGAAGATGTTAAAATTCCATAAAAATTGAGAAAGTAACACCCAAACCAAAACAAACGACTAAACGTAAGGTAGGTACATAAAAAAGATGCTACTCCATAAACTGGTGATTGGGGACAAATATCTCAGAATCTGGAAATCGGTTGGGCAACCCACGCATCATATAACCTAGAATCCAACAGGAAAGAAATGCTGGTAAAAAAACGAAATTAATTTCAACAGGAAAACTTGCGTATCTCCACCAAATTATGTGAACTGAGCATAACGACTACAGAGAATGTTACAAGGCAAAATATCAGGATTACGTGAACCAAGCAGGAGAAGAATATCGTGACTGAAAAACCTCCGAACGTGACTCTCAGCAACAGCAGCACTTTTCCAGGCAACAGCTAGTAGAATAATCATAGCTACACCTAACCGCCAAAATTCGCGGTTAGGTATTTAAAGAAGAATAAGAGAAAGAACAAAAAGACATATAAAAAGTCGCTCACTACGAATTTTTGGGCGGGACAGACTAGCTAGTAATGATGAAATTGATGCATCAATACGATAAAGCGTAACATTTTTTAAATGGAATGTGATGCTATGTGTTACCTCATTTTAAAGCTGCTAATAAATACTTCATAACCATTGAATATGAAATAACATCTTCCAAAAGACACATTTTATATCAAAGATCACCATGTGTAAATACAACTCATGTGCCCAGGAGAAGCAAGTTGTCATACCGACAGTGAAAGAAATATACAAAAACGTTCAAATTTGACAGCCCCCGCCCCACTCCAGCATTTTGGAAAATAATAAACTTGTACTGTAGGATTATAAAGTACGGATAAGGAGTTTCAAAATGAGATCTTACATGATCCCCTCTCTACTTGAAAAAACGTCGCAAGGTGGCACCCAGCCACCATCTTGAAATTTTCAACTTGTTTCAATAAAACACCGTATCCATGCTTTTACTTCACGCATTTCAGGTTGCTAAATTGACCGGTTATACAAATGAGTACCGACTAACCTTTCTGAAAATCACTGTGAACTAAGAAACATATGTTCAGCTTCTATGTGGAAGTCACAGCAACTTGGGAGAATTCCCTGACCATACATTTTCGGTACATTCAGTTCTATACTCTATCTCTATCTCTTGTCCTACTTTTCCTGTATCAACCAAGAACTCAAGTATGTTTTTTTTATATACTGAAGCAGCCGCGCAGGCATAAATAAGCCTAAATGCCTCGATACCGCTGCTACGATGATCCCAAAGAACTTTTTTACCTAAGGTTAGTAGACCTGGGAAAAGCTTACTCTTGTAAATTGTTCCTCAATCACGAAACTCTCGGGTCAAAGGAGAGGTCGTATCGGCCAGTTCTGGATGTACGAAGTTCGACACGGTTAGGATGGGAGGCTAAAGAAAGGCGGGTCTGTCTGGCACTCATCTTCGCCCGGCGGCATCATGGAAGAGAGTTTTGAGGAGCAAAGCCCATTGGTGTAGCGGTAGAAAAGAGCTAGATCGCCGACGGCCCGCCGACACCGTCTGTTAGAGAAAAGACATTCATCAGTCGGACAGCCCTCTTCTGGACAGCATCGAGCATGAATAATGTAGTCGGAGCGGCAGCACCCCAAACGTAAGAGCAATACTCGAGACTAGGCCTTATCTGGGCCTTGTATAGAGTGAGAAGGTCATGTGGAGAAAAGTACTTTTTAGCCCTAAACAAATAGCCTAGCTTTTTCCCAGCAGCTGCCGCTATTGGCGAGTTCGTCCCTGGGGAATACCAGCGTTGACGTTGTGAGATGAAGTGGAGAACCTGTCAATTACAATGGAGAGAGTTAGACACCCATCTGCGAAGCTTTTTTGGGAAGCCATAGGATGGAAGTTTGCTTAAGAAGGCAGCGTGCCACAGCTAATCGAACGCTTTCGTGATGCCAAGAGTAACGGCATAAGCCTTACCGTGACGTAAGCTAGGAGGCCTACTGTGGATCGCTGATGCCGGAAACCATAATGCCTGTCTCTAATCAAGCTGTGACGTTCGAGGTAGTCCAGAAGCTCGCGATTTATGTACCTCTCCATCACCTTACTTATAAAAGAAAGCAGAGCTATAGGCCTGTAGTTGTAAGCGTCGGTCTTAGATCCTTTTTTTGGGATGGGCTGGACATGAGCAAATTTCCAGTTTTCTGGAAAGGTGCCCGATTCATAAGATATCTGGAAGAGACGCGAAAGAACTGGATCAAGCTCCGCTGCACATCTCTTCAGTACAATGACAGGAATCAAGTCCGGACTAGAAGCTTTGTTGATGTCGAGCGACAAGAACACTCGTCTTACGGTCTTATGCCTGAATGTTACCTCCCGCATAGTGTGGGGAACCCTTTGAATTGACGGCACTTGGGCGTTGGTGGGGACGTCCATGGTGGAGTTGGCAGCAAATATCTTGGCTAGCAGTTCCGCCTTGGCCTTTGAGTCGAATACAATAGTTCTATCCTGACACGTAAGTGGTGGAAGGCTACTGTGTGAAAAGTTCTTTTCAATCTGCTTGGCCAGCGTCCAGAAAGACCGACTACCATTGCGCTGCGACATTACCCTGTGCCTAACTTTTATATCGTGCTGGTTTTTTGCATTGCGAACCGCTTCGTTATATTTATTTCTAGACTCGACGTCGGCTTGACTGATCTCTACAGTGGGGTTTTGTAAGAAGGTTCTGTGTGCCTTGATCTTCTGCTGGCGAGCAGTGTCACAGAATTTGTTAAACCAGCCGTTATACCCTGGTTTAGGCATTTTCACGGTATGAGGGATGTATTCCTCCATTTCGACGTGGATAGTTCCGGTTATCGAAAAACAGACATCCGACGCTTCCGCGTCAATGGAACAGACGTCTCTCCAAGGAAAGGTAGAGAAGAAGTCTCTGAGCCCCTCCCTCCCAGTCGGCATGTCGTAATCTCAAATTTTGCGGCCTGTGCGAGTATCTGCTGAGGGGAGACAGGACAGCAGTGCTGTAAGGGACAGGATGCATGGTCAGGAAGAGATCCAGCAAGCTTCTGGCATGTGGCGAGATGCGGGGGAAAAAAGTAGGGCGGGTCACCAGCTGAGTCAGCCCCTGAGTAAGAGCGTGTTTGAGCGTGTTTGAGCCCAACCAAAGCTCATTATGGGCACTGAATTCACTGAGGAGAAGTACCTCTCAAGCAGGGAGATTGATGTTCAGTTAGCCGATCTTGACGGAGAGGTATTCAAGTCATCCCAGTTATGGTCCCAGGAAGAGCGATAGGGGCAGCAAATAAAATTGGAGGACGTTTTGGAGTTGAGGCGAAGTCACAGAATGTCATTCCGGTCCAATGCCAAAGAAACATTTCTGAAGCAGGGAAGACTGCTCCGGACAAAAGCCACAACTCCTCCTTTCTTTCTCAGATTTTTGGGGATTTTCGTCTCCGCCAAGAAAAGCATGGCGGGACGATTGGATTGCAAGTAGTGGTGAACAGCATCGATGTTGCTGTTGATTCCGCAGATGTTCGTAAAACAAATTTTATGTTAGATGTTGTTCCCTCGAGTCCAACCTCCACCCGGACACTCCGAGAGTGGGGTGAGTTTATCTCCGGTGTTCTTAGTACTCGAAGGATCCATCATCATTAATTTCTTTGTTTTGGAAGATAACGGACTGCATAGCTTAGGTGTAGAAACATGCGGACATTTAAAAGCTAGCGGGTGGTACCACATCGGTCGACTGGTCCTTGTCTACCACCTTCTTTTTGCGTGTTAATGATATTAAAGAGGTCCGATGTTGTTGTTGTTGTTGTTTACCAATCTTATTGGGTCGTAGTTGCCATAATATTATCATGCGTTGCTCTTTTTTTTGGTTGCCAATATTTGTTTCAGCTATTTTCTATTCTTAACTGTTTGAAATGCTACCAAAATACCTGAGGAATGCTGGATGTAGAGATTGCGCTTGTAGGAGTCGCTGTAGTGCTTGTAATGCTTGACACAGTCGTGGGAGCGGACTTGGTCTGGAAAGCAGACCTCACACAGGAGTCGCCGACCTGCTTGAATGGTGAATTGCATTGACACCTTCCAAAGAGATTGGGAATGAGGAAGTCGCAGTGACTGTCTGCTGTCCATAGTCGACAGTGGGCGTTACTGTAGCATACGTTGCCTGGCCTAGCAGCTGAAATCCAAAAGGAAAGGTGAAATATGAAATCGGTAATAATCACTATGGCGAATTACTTGTCTTCATTGTTATCTTCCACTCATACTAGAATTATAAACAGAATATTCAAAAGTTCTGACCATACTGTATCAGTATGAGCCTGAAAAATGTAGTGTCGACTGAAGCAGGGGTTCCTTCCTTCAGGTTTTTCTTGTTCTAACAAACTAAGCGGGATTCGTTATTTAGAAAATAATAAGTTTTAGAGCGAAACCCAGTCAGTTCAGTCAATAATGGGTAGCCGTAGACTTTTTAGAACATTATTTTCATCCAATGTAACATCTGGAGCTTATGCAGTGGTTTTCGCTGATAAATCTCTTCACGTTTTGCTAAATAAAACCACAGATGTAGAAATAAAAGGTGAACTATCGTTGATCAATATTTTATCTGTCAATAGCTCACTTGTTATATACCAACAAGTCAACTATTACAAGACAAACTAATAAAATGTAGTGTGATCGTAATTGAACCTTGAAAAAGACAACCTAGGTAGCCGAAATGTTAGCAAAACTTCCAATTCCGCATCTGTGTTTTTATTTGGCACCCAGTGAAACATGTGGATTCATTATTTTCCTTCATGTTGGGTTGTTACACACATTACTGTGCATCTTTATGAGCAAATTAATATTTTGTTACTGTTCCCTGTAGGAAACACATAGATCGTTAATTCTTCTTGCAGCCCATTGTATTTTCATAATAATGAATGCAAGACGGGTTTTATTGTTTACAGTGTTTGGGTGATTGGTCTTTGTAAGCCGGATGGCATTTCTTTACATAAAGCCGCTCATCGATAGTTCTTAACTTTGAAATCCTCTTCTAGCATCATAAACAAACTTTGATATGATCTAACATATTTTGAAGATTTTTCTTGTCTATAGAAAACAGAAACAAAGGACCTACGATCGAGTTATATTCTCGTCAATGAAGCTTGTCCATGTCATGATGAAAGAGTTTCACCAAGTAGAGACATATACAATTTACAATAAAAACACGTATTCATCAATTCTGTTGCAGAGGTATAAAATATGAAAACATCAAATAGTTTTTTGCTCTTCCTGTGTCCTTTTTTTGACCAATCTTGCTCGCAATAGTTCTCAATCTGTGGATTCGATAAAAAAATGGGAGCACAGTTCGTTCACGATGTCAGGATAGTAACAAGATTGTGAGGCGAATTTTTGACTATCCTGCAATTCAGTATTAAGGAAAAAAAAATAAGTGAAGTTTGTTTTCATTTCTATGGATAATCTTTGACCTCCGATGGGGGGTGTATAAACTTAACTTGTGTATGTGTGCACGTCTATAATATAGCTCCTCAACGAAATGATTCGAGATGGCTTCCATCTATATTTGATGAAAGTCCGTCCATTTATTTGTTTAAAAGTTGTGGAGGGGGAGATAAGCAACACAAAGTAGGTAATATACCTAATTTTTTTATGAAATCGTTAATTTTATGTTATAGAATGATTGAACTAATACTAGTGAAAGTGAGATGCCCTTTATGTATCATACAGTACGTTACCATCACTATTACGCACACAGATGGCCGATATCGTTATCTTTTAACCTTTGATATCACATACCGTTTTTGAGAACAGTGATTTAAAGACGTGACGTGATCACTAAAGACCGGATTTTAAGCAATTTTGCTTATACGCCAATTTGTAAGCAGTATATAAGTAATGCCGTTTTAAGTACAAAGTAAATAAAAAAACTATTATTTTTTCAAAAAAAAGTGCTTTTTTTTGCTTTTTTTCTTAATTTCAAGCTTATTTTCTGAATTTGCGCTTATTTTGAACTTTTTTCTTTAAATATCTTATTTTTTTCTACCTATTCAAAGGCTTAACCAAAAGTGCTCCTCAAACTGGGACGGACGCGACGCGACACGTCAGAGATATGGAGTGGGGGAGAATAACTATTTCGATGCGCGAACGAACTAATCATAAATTTCGCCATTTTCTAGTAAAAACTTGTCTGGGAGTGTTAAAAAGTAGTCGTTTTGTATAGAAAATTTGTTTACTGTGAGCTTACGGAAGAGCGTCAAAAAGTATCTTTTTAGTTCTTTAATGCTGGTTTTAGTAGAAATACATGTAGGAATTTACAGAATGTCTCGTTGATTCGAACCGAAGTCACTAAAGTACACAAAGTTTTATCACTTCACATTGTTAAAAATTTCATTAAGAACAGAGTTGCCTAGAAAATGGCGGTCCCTTGAAATGATGCACACTCTTCGAAACTCATTCTCCCTTCTCCATTTCTCTGGTGAAACCCCGATCAGTGTTTGTGTGTTCGTGCAATTCTAAAAATAGATGTGCGATACGCAATTCTAGGCTGCTAGTAGGGTGCTCATGGTTAAGATATTTTAAATAAATAACAGATCGTATACCGTGTCACCGATCCTCCAAGTACAAGTGAATAATTAAATAATTTTTTGTGGTGACCTAATACTGTGCGTAAATAATCAAAGATGTCAAAATTAAATTATACTAACCTCAAGGTCTGGATCAAGGATAACCCGGAATTAAAATTGAAAATGGAAAAGTATTTTGTCAAGCTTGCATAAAACGGTAAGTTTTTCATAACATTAGGTATACCGGATGATTATTGATTATGATTAGTCCTAGAGCACATAGAAAATCCCATATTAATCCTACCTACCAAACTTGAATGCATTCTGCTTAGTGTTGTAAAATGTTCGAGAATTTTTTTTCGAGAACGTCCCTCGAGCACGAACGAAAATTTTCAGTACATACGAGTATAAATGAAGAAAAATAAAACAAAGGAAACATATTAGGAAAATATCTGAAATCAAAAAGTCTGCGCTCTAATTGTGCTCTATTTATTAAGTTAAAAATAATATCAATCCACTTATCTCTTAAAACACTTATGCAATCTCTTAAAATTCAAAGCATAAAATAAACCGATCTGTAAATCCCCGAAAACCAACACTGTCAGATGTCATTGGTGTCAACGATCGACGACAGCCAACCTAATGCGAGGCGATCCGGTGTTGCAACGTCTCGTTGCTAAAGGACCGTTCATACCTAATGTTAACGCTAATGCTATGGAACGTTAAAATTCTTGGGGTTCGGATTTATGCTCTTGAAAATAAATGTCACAAATAAAGTCGCGAACGATCTCTGAGAATAAATGGGATGTTCCATTGCTCGCAACACTAATTCTGCTAAGCTGTTTTTGTAAAAAATATATTGTTAATCTAACCAATGTCAAAGGTAAGCTGTCATTGATTTCGATAGTTACTAGTAGCTGCATTCATAAATTAATTATACTCAATTAAAAAAATAATTGCAGTTCAGCCACATTTTGCGAATAGTACAAAAATAGCTGAACTCATGCACACTTTTTATTTATTTGTGCATATTTGTGCATTTGTACAATCATGTTTTTTCTATTTAGACTTTATTTTAGGTAGGTCAAAATTGATTTTAAAAAAAATATGAATGAGCCCATGTAATCACTAATCAGTTTGGCAGGTATTCTAATCTAACAAAATAAATAATCCAATACTTTAAAAAATTTCATGAGATGAGATTTCCTGTATGTCCTAGGACGATGCATCAGCCATTAATTTTTATACAGGCATCAAGTAAAAACTACTTCATTTATTGTAGATTGTGTGTGTTAAAAAGTACGACGTAGTTCAACACCTGAAAACGAAAGTACACTCGGAACAAATGAAGAAGTATAAAGTTGATAAGCTTAAACAACTAACAATTGGTTCTTCCATGGCATCTGCTTCGGGCCCTAGTGAACAACAAGAATTTAATCAGGATCTCTGCAATGCCATGTTAAAATCAAATATTCCTTTAAACAAGTTGAAAAACACTCACTTTAAAGAATTTTTGGAAAAACACTGCAAACGAAATATACCAGATGAAAGTACTTTACGCAAAAACTATATTTATCCTGTATATCGCGATACAATTCAACAAATTAGAACAATAATTGGAAGCAATTATATATGGTTTACTGTTGATGAAACTACAGACAGTTGTGGGCGGTATATTGCAAACTTAATGATAGGCGTTTTGTGCCACGAGGTTCCTACAAAGGGATATTTAATTAGTTCAAAAGAATTGAGCACAACAAACAGTAACACTGTATCAAAATTTGTACATGAAGGGTTAGCAAACTTCTTTTTGCCAGAAGCTGTACCAAGTGAAAAAGTACTACTTATGCTCTCAGATGCAGCTTCTTACATGGTTAAGGCGTCCACAAACTTGAAAGTTTTTTACGGCAACTTAATTCACTGCACCTGTTTAGCTCATGGGATCAATCGTATTGCCGAAACCGTACGCTTACAATTTCCGTTAGTAAATAAGTTGATCAGCAATGGCAAAAAAATATTTGTTAAAGCGCCTTTGAGAGTACAAATGTTTAGAGAACATTGTCCAAATATTCCACTGCCTCCAGAACCAGTGTTAACCAGATGGGGAACATGGCTTGACGCCGCTATATATTATGCAGACCATTTCCAAAATTTTAAAAATTTGATTTTTGAATTTTCCGAAAGCACAAGTAAATCAGTACAAGAGTGTCAGATCGTTCTTAACAATAGAGAGCTCCAAAACAATTTGGCTTTTATCAAAACCAACTTCAGTTGCATTAGCAAAACTATTAAATCATTGGAAAAGCAACAAGTTCCTTTGGTTGATTCAGTTGCTTTAATAGAGGATTTCAAAAACACTATTAATACTGTTCCAGGAAAAATTGGCGGCTTAATTAAAAATAGAATGAGAGAGATTTTTGAAAAAAATATTGGATTTCAGAAACTGGTTCAAATATCGTCAGTTTTAGGTGGCGAAAATGTTCCAGAATTAAATATGTATCCAGATATTATTTCAAAGTTTAAATACGCTCCTATTACAAGTGTAGACGTGGAAAGGAGCTTTTCAAAGTATAAATATATCTTAGACGATAAAAGGCATAATTTGACAGTGGAG